CCCCTTCCTTATCTGTACTATAATCTCAAGCAGGTGACTTGAGTTCACTCTGAGAAATTTGCCTCTCCCCTGCCCCCAGGGCATTGAGAAAGTAGAACATTGGCATTAGCCATATTCTCAGGTCCTTAGAAAACTCTGACTTGTAAATATTCAGTTATTGTTTTGCTAGCCCTGCATATCTCTTCTGCTAACCAAACAGGGCCAGATACCCCATTCCATTTTATTCTATCCAAAGCCGACCACAAACTCCCTCTTCTCTGTCACTTCCCAAGAGTAAAATAAAAGGAACTTCTTCGATCAAAGTCTATGCCTTTAGGCCTGGCAGTTCCCTCACTGATTTCTCCAGGGCTGTCCCATTTTCTCTTTCTGCTCACTATATTCCAATACTCATGGTGGGCTTAAATACACTACGTGGCTACTCATGGAGGCCACAGCAAAGACAATTCTAATATTTTAATGTAAGGTGGATCAGACTAGACACATACAGTGACTCCTTAAGGCAGAACCATTCTGGGCCAAGAGCAATAAGCTTAAGTAGGGTTTGGGTATATTCCAGATGTACTGTAGTTATAGCATAACTGAAGACAGGTGTTCAGCATTGGACACATAGACTGGTGGAGAGTCAGTGTCAGTTGGTCAGCTCACTAGTCCACTGACCCTTGAGGCTGATGTTTCTTCTGACCAGCTTATTGTGCTCCTTCCCTCTTGTCTTCAAGGTATTTGCTATCTTTAGCTACCTTTCTGATCTTTAGAGGAATTCAGTCTTATATTTTTGTTTGTATATGTGTTTGTTGGTTTGTCGTTCCCAAGACCCTCTGCCTTCTGAGCAAAACCATGTTGATTCTCTAGCCACCTTCCTTACCTGTTCATCTGGTCTTTAACTGGTTCTTGTCTCTACGTCTTTTTTCTCTAGCTTGTAGGATAAGTCCTGCTCCCTGTGAAAACAAGACCTATTGTGTTGTTTATAAATCTGTGCCCTAAACTTACTTATTTTTTTTTGAGAGCTTAATTGTTTCCTTAAGCTAGCATAGGTATTGAACTATTGTACGTACACAGGAGGGTAGACTAGGATGAATTTAGAGGAAGCTAGGTGTTGCAAGGGAAGAATTGGAACCCAGGGACATGGTCTTTTAAGGGAGAAATCTCCCCCCATTTTGCCTTAGAAGGGGAGCATTAAAGATGAGGAGTCAAAGTTTATGTGACTGTTTGCTACTCAGGTGTACCTCTTTATAGCATCCTACAACCAACTGGGCAATGTAGGGAAGCCCTGGGATAAATGGTCTCTCTGTATATAAAATCGAGTACAAGACAATAGTTACTTTGTACAATTTATAGGGCTTCCTATTCCCCCCAGTAGATGGATGGTATGCTTCATCCTGAAGAGTAAACTTTAAGCTAGATTTGGTCTCCTCCGGCTTTGAATGTAATCACGACCATTTAAAATACATACATTCCCCTGGAGTCCCACTCTAAGTCTCCGGGTTTGTTGTTGATGATAGTTGGGGGGACAGGTATCATGTGTTTTAAACAAGCCATACTTTTAAAGAAATGACAAGAATAGTGGATGAGTTTTCAATTAAATTTTGATTGCTTTTCAATATATAAACAGCAAATATTTGTTCTTCATTAGCAGTGGGCTATATGATGTATAAAAGGGAAACAGGCATGGGATTTTCTATCTAAAAAAAGCAAGGTGTGAATCAGCAAAGGATGACTAATGACAGTGATGAAGGCTAGCATATGTTAAGCCTTTACCATAGATCAAAGGAGCCCAGATGGCACAACGGTAGCACAAACGTTAAGCGCTCAGCTGCTAACCAAAAGGTTGGTAGTTCGAACCCACCCAGTGGCCCTGCGGGAGAAAGACCTGGCGATCTCCTTCTGTAAAGATTACAGCCAAGAAAACCCTATGGGACAGTTCTACTCTGTCAAATGGGGTCACTATGAGTTGGAAGCAACTTGATGGCACCCAACAACAACCATAGGTTAGCTACTGTGCTAAGGACTTCATCTGAATTATCCAGCTTAATCCTCACAACCCTGTGAGTTAAGCACTATTTTTATACCCAGAGATGTTATGAAACTTCCCCAGTGTCACACAGCTAGTAAGTGGTAGAGCCCAGGGTCTGAACTTAGTCTGTCCGACTCCAAAGCCCTCACTCTAACCATTGTGCAAAATGCTCTTGCACAAACTTAGAACGGAACACCAGAAGCCCCAGTCGTTTCAATGAGGCAAAGCAGCAGGAAAACCCCTCTGAAGTGTCAGTCGGAACTCATTTTCAGAAACCAGATAGTATTAAGACTGTTTATAACCTGTAATAGTATTTCATTAGTTATTTTAAGAGTATAGTTTTCAAGTCTCCAGATTGCCTCAGAGGAAAACATATCTATAGGCTTCTGCCCAAGTTATGATTATTTGTAATCAATGCTGCCTGGAAATGTTTCCATTCTATCATTTTGCTGAACATGGATTTTTAAAACCACAATTCACTAAGATGGTGTGATTAGCAAAACCTTCAGTTTTCTGTGCATCCTTTCAGTGATTTGGCTTTAAGACTCATTAATAAGCAAAACCATTTAGGAACTTGTTCTCTTGCTGTTGGAGAGTGGAAATGTTTTCTTCTTCATCTACTCTTGCCATCGGAAGTGGAAATGAGGGTGGGTATCTTTTGAGATGTATCTGTAGCTTGGTTTTAGGCTTTGCAGGATATTGTTTCATCAGTTATATACAATAAGACCATCATCTCACTACGTTTCCATTACAAGACCAGTGAAATAATAATAAAATTGAGAAAAAGTGGTTTGAATATTTTAGTAGATGCCTTATAAGTTTATAGAGAAGATATTCAGTACATGATGACATGCTTTGCATGGTAGGTAGTCAGTAAATATTTCTTTTTCTGATTACTGTTGCCATATCATTGGAGCTTTACTCATGTTAACCACACCATCTTTTTAAAGAACCTCATAAAATTGTAGTTAACATATTTTATATACCTCATAAATTTCACAATAATTTTATTGGAACAGACAGATATGTCATTTTGGTCATCGGTAAGGAAAGCACATAATATTTTCAGAGTATTTACAATGTCAGTGTCTATTGGCTTTGTTTTAAATAATTACTGTCTTTTTTTTAACTGAGATTTTTACACAAACTCTTTGCAATCAAATAAGAGATCAGTAGAAATGATCAGGCATCGAAGTATATCCTTACGTACAAAATCATAGTGTACTATTCTTACAACTGATTGATGGATGTGGCATATATTAATTTATTAACTTATGTATTATCATTCTGAAGGAGGAAAGAACAACAATGGCTACCATTTATTGACTATTTACTATGGGCCAGACACTATTTTAAGTACCTGATATTTACTATCTCGTTTAATTCTCGTAACAGTTCTATGAGATAGATACTATTTTACCTATCAACAAAAGAAGTACAGAGGTTTAAATAACTTTCCCAAGGTATATAGAGTCAGAGTCAGAATATGAACCCAGTTTTATTGAACTCCAAAGCTCATACCCTATATCATAAAGAGCGAAATGAATAGTCCTGAATACGAATTTGTTTCTTAAAAGAGTAAAGTATTATTTGACCATTTCAGGCCATCTTAATTAAAGACCTATCATATGTGATTCTTACCGGTATGAATGAAAAGTTGTATACAAAAGAATATGGAGGATGATAAGATAAGCAAATACTCAGAGGAATGCCACAATATCTGATTATTGCTGAAGAGTAGCTGGACGCTCAAAAGCGTTCTTGACACACAAAGATCTTGGAAAAGTTGTCTCTGTTAATAGATCTGACCTTGCCATCCTGCTCTTCTCTTTGTCTGCAATTCAGCTGCCATTGATGCAGGATTTATAATGTGTCACAGGTTCATCCAAGAAACAGTGACAGAGGTGTGGCTGAAACGCTGGACAATAAAGAATAGAGACGATTTCCATTTCTGTTTAAAAGAGAGTGGCAACAAAATCATAGCTGATCCTTGGGACAGACCAAGACAGCCTGTCAGGCTATTCCAGTGAATTGTGCATTAAATGCCTAGTGCCCTTTTCAGAAGGGAAGTTTCCTCTTAGTGACCAATACGCTCACAGTGTCTATCCATGATGGGAATACTCAAACCTTGGAAAATGATGGTGGTGGTAATCATGTTACAGTTTTCCAGGAGAGAGTCTGTAGTTTATTCTTCCTTTAGATCTCTAAACAATAAGGATTTTTTGTGAATAAGGATTTTTTGTGAATAAGGATTTTTAAGGAAAGGAACAGTTTCTTGACTACCAAGTGTGAAAATACTGTGTGGCAGTGGGTCACATGAATTATGTAGTTTTAGAGTCCTTGTCAGGAATTTTAATATTATGAACTTTATTTTGTATAGGTAGGATAATGTTAATTTTTGCTTTAAATACACAGTGAGACTTTTGGAATTCTTTTGTTAGAATTCAACTAATTTAAAAGAAGCATGTTATACCGTGGGAGATGAATCTTGTTCCTATTTTATGAAACTGAAAATAAAACCCTGATTTTTGAGTTAACAAGGGTAGAAGCCACAGACATCCAAATTTTAAATTATTACTTTTATTCAGCACCAGCAATATCTTAGCCTATGGAAATAATTTTAAAAAGTTAACATTGGTGAGCTGTGTATGTATGCATCTAAACTCTCTAGTCAACCTTCTGCTATAGAGCTAATAGAACAACACCTCTTAGTTGCAATTTGCGCAGCATTTAGAAAGAATTGATCAGTGGTTTAAGCTCAGAGGAAAAAAAAATTAGCCTGCTTCTTCAGTTTTCTGGTTTTGAATGACCAACAGGCCTTGTCAGATATTCTGGCCTAAGTTGCTGAAAGTCAGAGCTGGGGTTTTCCTACCTGTGTACTTCATCAGCCTTCCCCTAAACCACAGTCTCCCTCTCGATAGCTCTAATTAATTTAGTCTTCTCTCTCTTTGTTCTCCCTTCCCCCCACCCTCTCCCTGTCTGTTCACAGGTTATCTTGACGAATCAAATTACAACCCATCTGAGCAGAACCCTCGCTTCTCAGGCAGACCTGGTGTCTCCAGCTGATGATTTGTCCCTGTCTGAAGGTAAGGGATCTGTCCTAGAGAGGCTGAAACTTGACACTGACATACAGCTCCACTGCCTCTCTGCCTCCTGTTGAGAGCTGGGAGATATGGCTAATAGGCTCTGGCCAGAGAACCCAGCTGGAGCCTGGTGATTTAGGCTTGGCCACCTTTCCCAGTATATGATCCCTTATATTCGGAGTCTCTCTTGCCCTCTTCCTCAAAGGGAACTCCCTTTTTCACTTGAGTGCATCCTCCTCAGAGGTATCCATCGTCTCAACCTTGAGGCTTGTCACTCTCCGTGGGTTGTTTCAGATCCTCAGTACGAGGGCTGGCAAACTGCTACATGACTTCATTTTTGAAACTGATGCTCAAAAGTTGGCTTTATTAGTGGTCACATCACAACTGAGCCTTTTGTTTGTGGGTGCCTTTGGACTGGCTAATAGTACACACCACCTATCAGGTGCTGGAGATGTCACATTCCCAGTCAGCTTTATGGAAAGATACAGAAAAATCTCTGAATTTTTGGGTAAGTTAGCAAATCTGCAAAATTTTCTCTACCCTCCCATGCTGCAAAAGGTCAGGCAGTCCATGGTTTTGATGTAAATTAGCTTTACGTAGCTAGGGGAATTACACAACTGAGCCAGTGGGTGGTTTCTACTTTTATTGAAAGTTCTTACTTGACATTTTTCTGAGTTCTTCTAGTTGTAGTCTGCTTTATTTCACAGCAAAATATCATGGCCCTACGTAGATGTATGTAACTGCTCTAGTCCCCTCTGCACTTTTGAATTTCTGAAAATTGTTCTTGATGGAATACGTAGGACCTGTGGGCCTAGCATGGCTCCTGACTGCTCGTGTAGTCTTCCAGGCATTTGCCTTGGTTTATAGCCTCAGAAATTGCAAGGACCACACTCCTGCTTCTTGGTGGTATCTTTCAAGTGAAAACTAATTACTTATTTATAAGAACTCTGAGACGCTCTATACCTTCTTTCCATGCCCAGCAATGCATTATCCTTACTCTCATTACCCAGGCTGAAATCCTGGATCATCTAATATTCCTCCCTCCACACACTCCTTTAGTTATCAAGTTGGCTTGATTCTTTCCAAGTATATCTTTCCTCTGCCCCCTCTTTTTTGTAATTTGTATTGTGATCAGCTGACTTATTAAAGTCACAATTGGATTATTTTAATAAACTCCAGAATGGCCATCCCAACTCCAGCCTCTACCATCTTCAGCCCACCACTACCAAATTGAACTTCCCCAGTCTAGCTTCCTTCTACTGTATCACTCTCCTGCTCAGAAACTTTGGAATTGGTTTTTCTGAGAATGGGCTAAAATCAGTAACCAATTATTGGGGTTTACTAGCTTGAAATTAGCCAGTGTGGCAATATTTACATCACCGAAATTAGCAAGTCTTAAATATCAGGGGAATTTTTTTGTTCATTTTGGTGGACTACGTTACTAAAACATCACTTATTAAAAGTTGATGCTTCTTGACCCTTCATAGTTTGTCCTTTCCCTTCTTCTTCAGCCTTAAGTGAAGCTTCTGTGCCAAGTGGGCTGCTGGTCTTCCTGCCCGTCCTCACTCCTGCCTCCATGCCTCTGTAAAGATAGCTCACCCCATCTAGAGCAGCATTTCCTTTTTTCACTTCTGTCTCTTTTTTTCTGCCTAAATCCTTTGAATCCTGCTTAAGGAACAGCTCTTCCATGAAATCTCTTTGCCTTTTCTACTCCACATTGGTATCACTCACTCTTCCTCCTCGGTGGCCTCTCCACCTGCTCACCTATATAAAGAAAAGTTCTAGAAAAGGTAACTTTTCATTTTTTCCCAACTATATTGTCAGATTGTTAAGGACATACACTATGTTTTATTCCTTTTGTGTCCACGCTGTGCCCCTGTGACTAGCAAAGTTCGAGGCATATAGTAGGCAGTAAACAAATGCTGAATGAAAACCATAGTAAACACTTTGGAAGAACAGTAACCAAGAGAATCACATAAAGTACCTATGAACATCATTAAAAATTGTGTTAGAATTCTTTCACATACATGCATACATATATTTATTCAGCTCTGAGGAAGAGACCAGAAGAGAGTATTTTGTTTCCTTATTTGAAAACTAGTATGTAATAGTGGGGAGCCCTGGTGGGATAGTGGTTAAGAGCTTGCTTGGCTGCTAACCAAAAGGCCAACAGTTTGAATCCAGCAGCCCTTCCTTGGAAACTCTATGGGGCTGTTCTACCCTGTCCTATAGGTCGCTGTGAGTCGGAATCGACTCGACAGCAATGGGTTTTTTCATGTAACAGTGGAGGCCTGATGGTGCAGTGGTTAAGAGCTCGGCTGCTATCCAAGACGTCAGCAGTTTGAATCTACCAGCCACTCCTTGGAAACCCTATCGGGCAGGTCTGCTCGGTCCTATAGGGTCACTATGAGTCAAAATCCACTCAACTGCAACAAGTTTGATTTTGGTTTTTGATGTAATAGTGCTTTTCTTTGTCCTGGCTTCCTGTTAATCTTAACCAAAGAAGAGCAAAACAAATACAAAGGAAATTGCTTTGGGACTCCAATGTAACTGCTACAAGAAAATGATAAAGTCATGTTCATAGACAATGAGCAAGTTACCAACTCATCCTTAGACAACCTTTCCTTATTATGAAATCCAAGGGAGAATTGAAACAATTGATTTTTCTAGATCTTTTGTTTATATAGGTAAGTAAAGAGGCTATAGAAGTATGTTTTCCTAAAGTCTATAATAAAGGTCCCTACCAATGAATTAAAATGGACAAGTTTCTTAGAACATTTATACTTATTCAAATATATTGCAATGGTTGTTAATATTACTATGGTTAGTATCTGTAAATGTCTTTGTTGTTGTTTCAAGCATTTATTGTAACAGCTTTGCCGTTGTGTTACTACCTCTGTGATCTTGGGCAGATCTTTTCATCACTCTGGACCTAAGTTTCTTCTTCTATTAAATGACAGATTGGTTGAATAGAAGGCTGCTTAAGTCTCTTCAAAAGGAGCCCTGGTAGCTCTGTGATTAAAGCACTCAGCTGCTAACCGAAGGGACAGTGGTTTGAGCCCACCAGCCACTCTGTGGGAGAATGATGTGGCAGTCTGCTTCTGTAAAGATCAGCCTTGGAAACCCTATGGGGCAGTTCTACTCTGTCCTGTAGGGTAGCTATGAGTCGGAATCGACTCAATGGCAATGGGTTCGGTTTTGGTTTTGAATATCTCTTCCAGCTCTAACATTATAAGATCATACAGTAGGACTGAAGATCAGAACATTGACTAACTGATGGGGATTTAATTCTGATTTACAGATGGGGAAGAATGACCTTGGGGCTGATATTTCCATAGATAAAACATAAAACATGAAAAGCATCTCCAGAAATCTCAGCGTTGCTACTTTGGCATACCTCTAATAGCCTCCCCTCCCAGTATTGCTGTCTCTTTCTCCCTCTGTATATGCTTCTGATCTTGTCTGTCTGTCTCTTGCTCTCTGTCTGCCTCTCTCCCACAGAAGCACATACACAGCAAGAAGTATGTGCACACCAGTGAGAGTGAGAAACACACTGTGATGGGGTGAGCCCAAGGCCCCCCCCAGTAGAGTTCAGCTACAGAGCAGAGGGTGCTGCTTAAACAGTGATCCCTCGAAAAACAGTTGTGGGGTGAGAACAAGCAGCGAGAGCAGCCAGCAATGAAATGATCTGAGGTGACCTGAGAGGAGTACCCAGCAGGGGCTGATTCAGGGAAATGAAGTCCCTTCTGCCCTGACGCAGAGGAGGGAGTACAAGTGACCGGGCCCAACTGAGAGATCTCTTCCACCCCAACGGATCCTGTAATATTAATATCTGCCAGCTGCAGGCCCGGAGCATCCCCCTGCTGAGATCAAAAGAGCCCCTATCTTAGCTAGAACAAGGTCATCTGCACAGGGCTATAAAAGCGAGCTCTGGCTGGCTGTCGGGATGTCTATGGGGGAGGAGAAGTCAGGAGATGGGGAGGTGCTCTCTCACGCTCCTTTAATCTCGGCTGACCAGCTGTTGCCCTCCCAGTGTTTGTAAAGTTGAGAGTTCTTTGTTTTGTGTTGCTGAGGTGTTCTTTTCTTTTTTTTTTTTTTTCCCTTATTAAATTTGTGACTGGGTTGTTGCTTGGATTAAGTAGATCACTACTTGCATCCACAGTATGATTGTCTTCACTGAAGTTCTTTTCACTGTTGAATTATCCTGCTCTAAGGTGGGACAGACAAAGATGGGAGAAAAAGAAGTGGACCTTAAAGTCGAAGGACTTCCTGACATTACTCTTGCCCTGGAGTTTTGTGCCTAGAGAAGGAATGAGAGGGCAAATTGAATTTTCCCTATTTAATTAAAATAACTCCTCGTATGTGCAGTGTGCTATCAATTTGAAACCTTTGTTTCACAAACGTTTCATTCAGTTGGGAAAATGGAACTTTCAGGACTTATGCAAACTGATCAAAGTTATAATGTGGAAATTATCATAGAACCAGAAATCAGGATTTTTCATTCTGTATTCTATATTGTTTTAGACCAGGCACCGTGAGTCGAAGTATTTTCTTCTTCAGTTTTGTTTTGTTGACAGAAACTCAGGTATGTACTAGGTTGCTGTAGAGCTCAGTGACTGGTCATTGGCTAGATTATTGTGACTATTCAATGGCCAAGGACGTGTTTCTTAGATGCCCTTTCTGATTCTTCCTTTGGTCTTCAAAGATACCAAGGACTATTCAACCTCCGTCATAAGGAACATCCCCTTTTCCCTGGTGTGATTGTGCCCAGGCTTTGAACAACAGAGAAAGAATGTAACAGTCCACCTGGCCTAAGATGCCATATCCTCTTCTGAAATCACCTGGGATTTGAGCAAAATAACTGACTGAGTCCCCATCCACAGGGGCATAGTTTGTAGGTGAAATTTGTGTAAATTGTTAGTAAGCCCTGTGCAAGGTTGAAGCTCTGCTCAACCTAGACTATTAGCTTTCTTTGCTCCAGTGATTTAACGGGGTTACAATTA